CCATATTAATTTTTATTATAATATTTTGAACATGAATCTGTTGTATTTACTTATTGTATTGTTGTAATTTAAATTAACGTGGTTTCAGAACTATATGCAACGTATGATGTCGTCTGTGTATGCCAAATTCCAAGACATGACAGTTGAACTTAACGGTTTTGAAGAAATAGTATTTAAAAATCTCGTGACTTCACATGCTTGTTATTACAAAATAGAGAACTGTACCAAACAACCTCTGGACTTGTTTAGAAAATGGATGAAAATTACGGATCCAGATAATGATAACATGTGAGTTAAATAAATGTTTAATTTATTGAACTAATTACAAACTGTAATTCAAATTAGATTGCCCAAAGAACTGAAATCAGTTATTTACTGTCAAGCGATGAAATACGGAGGTGAAGACGAATGGAACTTTTTATGGGAACGTTATCAGCGTTCCAATTCGAACTCTGAAAAAGATGATATGCTTGTAGGATTAGGATGTAGTTCAGAGACATGGTTACTAAACAGGTATTAAACTCATATTAGCGTCATATGGACAGCACAATGAAACATTATTTTTATGTTAGATATTTGAATTGGTCACTTGATAATTCAACTATTCGCATGCAAGACGCTAACGCAGTGTTCAGCGCCATAGCGTCCAATGACGTTGGATTTTCTTTAGCAAAAGACTTTTTGTATAATAATATTTCTGTTATATATGAATTGTAAGTTACCATTTAAAGTTTATTAATACGATAATATTAAGTTGAAAGCTTAAAATTATTATTTTAATTTGTAAAATTTTAGCTACCAATCTTCAGGCAAATCTGTGGGTAGTTACGTGCAAATTATAGGGTATCAAATGAAAACTAACGAAGAACTAGATGAGGTGATATAAATAACTAGTTTTATTTTTAAGAATCAAAAGTTTCATTGATATGTTTTTTTTTTGTTACAGATCCAATCATTTATTAATAAATCGTCAGGTTATTTAAAAGGAGCTGATGTGATTATCGTCCAGACAATAAAGGCTATTAAGATGAAAATTGAATGGACTTCAAAGTATTATGATAAAATTGTAAATTACATAGTACAATAATTATTAACAATGTTACGAATGGGCTTAAATACAGACTCTTTGATTAAAATTGTTACACAATATAATATCCATTACCAAGGTTAATAGAAATAATAAATATTAAACATTTTTAGCTAAGTATATATTTCTTCTTCATAATATGACGTAGTTACCTACTACTTTTTACTGATTTGTATCACAAGCTGAATGTTTCTGATTAAAATAATTTATTTATATCTGAAGTAAACTAAACTCATCATATTTAAACGTCATTAAATATATTCATTTATTTTTCACATGCAACATAATTCTATGTACATATTACTATGAAGTTTTTTAAAACTTTTTTTGGAGTATAATAAATAATAACATGATTTATAATATGTTTCTTTTTACAAGAAAAATAATAGGTGAGAAGATTAATATTCTTCTTACAACCATCTCAAGTTCAGTTTAATGTATTTTTTTTTTAAATAAATAAATTTTATATATATTATTCTGTTCATAAAGCACAGCGGTGTAACGCAGTAGACGGACTAAACGGCTACCGGCTCTTTTAGTCAGGAGTCACTTTAATAGGTGGGGACAATATATATTAGCGGCTATTAAGAGTCCGCGACATCCAGACGACTGATAGGGCACATTA